GGCAGAGTTCTTTTGTTGAGTCATCCAGATATCAGGGGCTGGGACCCCACAAAGATATGCAGAGGTATTTTTGCTGAGTCACACCGGGATTGGATCATGGGGGTCTCCAATTAGCTCCAGTTTAGGAGTATACATAGGTGCTGGACTAGGAGTACTGGGGGGTGTTGCCATACACCTGGCTTGAAATGGTTTTCATTATCTAGGGTTTACAGTTTGATTCAATGGCTTTCAACGCCCTTATTCTAAAAATTATTCCAGCACCCCAGGAGTATAAAAGAGAAGATTCTCACAGTATTATTAACTTGCCACACTGCACACAGGTCTTGTCTTCACTGCAAATAAAAGCGGTGTTTTTAACTTGCATTAACTACCATAAGGTAAAGGCCTAGTGAAGACAAGGCAATATGGTATTTTCATTAGTTAGAAAGTGGCGTTAAAGACTATAAAGGAGCCTAGTGTTTGCCTCAATCTGCTCATTCCTGTTAAAACTCCAAACTGTCAAGTCTTCAGTAGAATTTCATCTCATGTTAGCTACTTGAGTTAAGAACACAACTTGATTTCTAGTGAAGACTCAACCCATAGTATATAAAGTCCGGTGTGTATTTAAACAGTCCAATTAGATACAGAAAATATTACGAATGTGTAATGTGGGTAAATTAATGTTACTCTAAGAATGCTTTGCATTATTTTCTGGACTTTTCATATATTTTATCTCCTTAATCTTGCATTGATATAGATTATTAAATTTAATTCATATCTAGAACTGCAGAGTCCTGTAACTTGAGCAACAAGTTTTAGAACTTTGGAAATATCGGAAACCGTTACTGAAACCGTCATAGCTGCTGAGAAGTTCAGCAAGGTCCATGATTCCAGTCCACAGAAGACCAGAGTGCCAACTATTTGAATTTAAAACTTCACTGCAAAAGAGGGCACTGGAAATTCTTGCCTTAGTAAAAAGGGCAGACAGGTAGAAAAGTCAACTAGTATCAACCAGGATTGATAGGATATAATCATATCAGCAGTATCATCTGCTTCAAATTAGAGGACGATCCCTGTCAAAGACATAATCCTGGAGGAAGACAAGCAAATACAAAAAACATGAATACACATAAGATGAGGGAAAAGTATGCAGCCAAATCTCTGTTCACTATGCCATGTAGAAAAAACATTTCATACATCCAACTATTCCTTGGCACACTGGATGCCCGGCTAATATGGACTATTGACAGAGCTATCAGGAGATAACAGGGTAGGTACCACATCATAAAAACATAAGAATGGCCATAATGAGTCAAACCAAAGGTCCAGCTAGCCCAATATCCTGTCATCGGACAGTGGTCGATGCCAGAGGCCCCAGAGGAAGGGAACAGAACAGGGATTCATCAAGTAATCCTTCTCCTGTCACCCATTCCCAGCCTTTGACAGAGGCTAGGGACACCATTTCTACCCATCCTGGCTAATAGCCATTGATGGACCTAACTTCCATGAATCTATCTAGGTTTTTTTTAACCCTGTTCAAGTCCTGATCTTCACAACCTCCTCTGGCAAGGAGTTCCACAGGTTGACTGTGCGCTGCACGAAAGAAAAACTTCCTTTTTATTTTAAATTTGCTACCTATTAATTTCATTTGGTGACCCCCCCCCTACTTCTTATATTATGGGAACAAGTAAACAACTTTTCCTTATTCACTTTCTCCACACCAGTTATGATTTTATAGGCCTCTATTATATCGTCCTTAATCTCCTCTTTTTCTAAGATAAAAAGTCCCAGTCTTTTTAATCTGTCTTCATATGGGACCCATTCCAAAACTCTCGTCATTTTTGTTGCCCTCCTTTGAAATTTTTCCACTGCCAATTTATTTATTTATTTTTAGATAAGACGACCACATCTGTATGCCGTATGCAAGATGGACGTATCATGGCTTTAGATAGAGGCAATAAAAGATTGTCATCTTCTGTATCCCTTTTTAAAGGATTCATTTTTTTTTTTTTTGACTGCCACAGCACATTGAGTGGATATTTTCAGAGAACTCTCCACGATGACTCCAAGATCTCTCTCTTGAGTAGTTGTAGCTAAATTAGTCCCCATCATTTTTTATGTATAGTTGGGATTATTGTTTCCAATGTGCATTCCTTTACCTTTATCAACATTAAATTTCATTTGCCATTTTGTTGCCCAATCACTTAGTTTTGTGAAATCTTTTTGCAGCTCTGCCTCATTCCCAGTGGAGTTACCATATACATAGAAATAACTCATATCACCTACAGATCAGCCTATACTTAATCCCTTGTCCACTTATAGCATTTTCATACAACATTCAAACTCTACATTAACTAAAGTCAGAAAATTCAGGAAGTGGCACAGATCCTCAGTGGCACCAAATTTACACCCAATGCAGTTGTGAGGTGTGAATAAGTAATTAAGCCACCTCCCTGCTTTTCCAGTTCTGGGATGGTAGGTGTTGAAACAGCCTCTAGTATAATTCAGAGCAGTCTCAGGGTGGCTCTAAATTATGGCTACTGAAGTGGTCTAGTATGGAACTAGATGTGTCATCTTGGATCATCCAGAGTCCTATCTACTTACTCTAACCACTCCCATCTATAGCATGCCCCCT